GGTGGTGGTTGTTTTTTGAGACAGGATTCTCACTTTGTTGAGACTGATCTGGAACTCACTGGGTAGCCCAGGCTGGTCTCAAACTCACAGCAAATCCTCCTGCCTCAGCCTCCTGAGTGCTGGGATTACCGGTGTGCGCCACCACACCTGACTTCTTATCCATTTTTAAACCCGTGTTTTGGAAGCTTTTCTACATACCACAGTACTTTCCCAGTATCAAAGTGAAATTCTGAATTAAAAATCACAGTTGTAGAATATTGGAGAGATGCTCCCGCTCTGCATAGTAGAAATGCACTATGGAACCTTGATGGCCATTTCTAATCAATCTTTGAAACCCAGTTATCTGGCCAGGACTCTGTTCCTTGCTCCCATGCACATAGTTTTCATTCAAAGCATGCTCTTCCCAGCCTGCCCATCAATGTTTAAAAATAAAATCTGTCCTTTTACTCAGTTGCTTGTTAATATTCTTGCCCCAAAAGAGGGTGCACTGCTTATTACTTGCACTAGAATACTCCCCGAGGCTCTAGCTGCTGAGCTAACATGAATGTGAAGGACGGACAGAATGTGCATGTCGTCTGGGTGTGCAGTGTGGTGTGGCATCTCCTGCCTTCGTGTCACTTTGCTTGCCTCTGTGCTGTCAGCGTGTGCACTTTTAAAAGCCGTCTGCATTGTCGTGTGTGAAGTTCGACGCCCCTCCAAACCCGACCTCGTGGCATCAGGGTGAAGTGTTCCACTTGCCTTCTTTCTCTAGGCTTTGCTACCGGAGCAGCGAGCAGTGCATGCAGATTCCTACAGAAGGATTGGGCACCTGTGACACGGGGCTGCTTTGGATGGCACTGGTCCCCTGGCAGACTCAGAGGCTCACATGCACACGCGCACACACACACGCACAGAGACATGATCTGAGACACCTGGGAACCCAGTGCTCCGTGCAGGGATTCGATTATTATTTTTACTGAAGCCTTTGCAGTATTATGTCTCCTATTTATTTCAGCACAAATGACTGGTTTTGTGAATCAAATTCACAAACTTCAGCTTGTTACAAATCCTTATTTAAAGAATCTGGACTTAAGATGCCTGAAAGGATGTATTCTATATATTTTCTCATTCCATATGTTGTAATTATTTTTAGCCAAAGGTACTACTTTTATATATGGAATTTGAAGAAAATCAGGGTTATTTATATGGTTTTGTATAAGATGTATGATAGTTTTTGACAGGAAAAAGGAAAATTTTGATGAAACAATAAAATAAATTTTAAATATATGACTGCCTCTGTTTTTCCTCTTTCTTCCCTATTTTGCCATATTCCACATTCTTAGAATTATGTTATGGTTTTCTGTTTTGCTTTATTTTCTTAGGACAGTGGAAATTTTAAAAAAAGTTCATTTGTGTTTGAACTTTAAAAACTAATTAGCTGTTGTCATTCTTTTATTTGGTTATGAAAATATGTCTTTCATAAAATAAAAACTTTATAGTAGAGGGGGAAAAATATCTTTTTAAAATATAGGCCTTTTTAAAAGCTAGATGCCCAAGGCCTAATTTATTGAAATTCACGTTTTGCATTGGACTTCTGCCTATAACTTTTGTCTCCAAATTAGTCATGTGGTTTTATGCTTAGGGGCTGTTCAATATCCAAGCAAATGGAAGCTTTCCACTTGTTTCACCATTCTGCATATTTTTTCTTCAGAATATTTAACCATCAACCATAACACTTGAGCTATGCTTAAAGCACTGCAGCACTGGCTGTGATCTAGAGTTCCTGATGTAGACGATTTGGTGAACGGAGGGGAGCAGCAGAGCCAGATGCACTCTAATCTCTCTCCAGGTCACTGCTTTCCACACCCACTACTCCTCAGGGCTTTTTACCTGCCGTGTGCTTTTCATCGAGGAGCGATGTATGGGGAGAAATTCTTGATAAACTTCCTTTCCAGTCCAGATGTGGGCTTCACATTGACCAGACAAACTGAGAAACAAATGCCTAGAACACTGGCAAGGGGCGACTATTATGAAGTGAAAAACAGCCTGACACCCTCACAAGGGTCACTCATTTTAAAGAAACAGATGTGTGGACATTAGGCAGCCTCAGCTAAACCCAGTGCCTGTCCTGTTGTTGAGGACCCCCCGCCAGTCTTGCAAGATCCAAGTCACAATGGAAGGCACCTCACCATCGTTTAGTACTCATTTTACTAGAACAAGAACACACAGGCATTCAATTATGGGGCTTAAGAATTTTGCTTTGTATCAGGGGACAGTAGTATCACAGGTAAGATTCTCTTTGATTCTCTCTCTATAGGGCTACTTTTCCACCACGTACAATCCATGCAGTATTCAGAAATCCCTTCATCAGAAATTCATCCTCCCCATCACCAAGGCAACACATTAGCTGTTCTGTCTATAGGCGACTTGTAGGGAGAATGAGCCTGTGGTATTTCCAGTGTGGCATCATTTTCAAACGATAATACACCTTTTTTACTTTCTGCAGGGAAGCCAGGAACAACTGGTAACACTCATGGAAGAACGCATGATAGAAGTTGAACAGAAACTCAAACTAGTGAAGAGGCTTCTTCAAGAGAAAGTGAATCAGCTCAAAGAACAAGTGAGCTTCCCCAGTCCCCTCAGCCAACCCACCTCAGGTCCCAGTTTTAACTCCATTTTCACACCCCTCTATTGCCATTAACTTGTGTTGTCTAATAAAGGCAAAGTCTACCTTAAATGTCTAGAAGAACTGAGGATCCACTCTTCCTCACACCACTCCAAAAATATGAATTCTGTACTGTACATTTTTTCCAATGCCCTTTTAAGACACGTTTATCCAAATTTTAAAAACATATTTGCCAGCAGTGACTCACACAGATCTAATCCCTAATGCGGTTCAGTGGCTCAAATTAAATATGTACATATTTTCTTTTCTCTGCCCAAGACAAGCAGTATGTCTATTCGAATAGAAAAATGATACTGGCAAAAAATTGAGGGGAGGGGTGAAAAGTAGAACTTTAGCTTTCCTGTGTCCAATAGTTTATGACAACCTCACAAAGCACCTATCAGACCGTGAAAGGATGGGCTTTGAAGAGTCTGGGCCCCAAATTCCAGACCAGTAAGCACTGGTGCAGATGTAGCCTCAGTATTCAGAGGTTCGTTGTCCACCAATAAGAGAAAGAGATATTCAGGGAGGACCACCTAGCCTAGGAACACGTCAGATGTTCTCTGGAAACAGACAGCCTGGTGGTGATTTTCTAGATTAAAAAAAAAATAATCCTAAGAGAAGATCTCAATCCAGATGCAGACAAGAATTCTCCTCTGCCCTTTCTTTTTCCTCCTCTGTTTATTAAGATAAAGGAGAAGGTCCTATGAATGAGCAGTTGCCCATTCAACCATGTAAGCATTCATTCATTGTGTTACTGTGTTCCCATTAGAAAAGTAGTAATGTGAAAAGGCCCTTGCCCATATTGAATTAAACTCTAGCATACCTATTAGGTGCCAAGCATTTGCCTGATGACAGGCTCAGAAATAAAATAGGACTGACTCTATTTTCAGTAGAAAGGAACATGAGAAAAAACACTTGATCCAACTCTTTCCCTCCAGCTTGAACCACCAGAGGTACATGCATGACTGTCCCATCCCATGCCACTCAGTAGAACAGTCGCGCATGTACCACTGTGGTTCAAGGTGCTCAAAAGCATACAAATTACAGCTTCCTACAAGACTCTTAAATGGAGCCCTGAGAATAGTGATGTTTGATCAAGTGGGAAGGGCATGCTAGGCTGTGGGAACATCAAGAAGTTAGGACAGCAGGGTGGGGGCATCTATAAACAGTGGGCGCTTGAGACTGGGGCTTTAGTTCAGTGGTTTTGCTGCCTGTCTCCCAAGCGCAAGATCCAGAGTTCGATCCCTGGTACCAAAAGCAAAAGAAAACAGTGGGCACTGCCAGATTATAATGCTGTCCTGGGAGAAGAGACTAAACAGGGAAGGACCTCACTTGCTACATCAGAGTTTGAATTTTATTCTGTTGTGACGAAGCGCAGTTGAAGTGTTTCTTAAAGGGGAGAGTAGAAGGGAAAAAATAAAAAAGCAGAAAGCGATCTTAGAACATTTCAATACAGAATGGGTTCTGAAATGTTGGCATGTTCCACCTGCCAGTTATCTGGATTATCATTTACCTGTGAAGTGCTAAGCAGTCGCTGTAGTTGCTCTTTATCCCCTTAAGCCTTTATTCCTTTAGAGGCTCTGCTTGGGGATTCAAGTGAGGGCTTAAAAGTATGGGTAATGGAGATTGAAGATACTAAGAGGAACAATAAAAGAGAAAGTCTCCAAAATCTGCTAACAAGCTTTCACACCCCAAACTAGACTAAAAAACCACCAGGTTTGGAATATACCTTCTAGACAAGGCCCTCTGCAGAAAAGAAGGGATTGAAAACTGCCCAAATCTCACCTTTGTTATAATTCATGAGCCAAATTTTGAAGTATCAGTAGACTGTTATGAATGGAAATCTTAAACTTTTGAGGTATAAAGTTATAAAAATATTTTTAATTTTAGAAAATAAGGAATGACACCTAATTTATTTAGGTGGGGAAAAATCATTTTTAATAGCAATCTGTTTTTTTGGGTTTTTTGTTTTTTGCTTTTTTTTACTAATGTCTACAAATACTATGTAAAGAAACAGCTTGGAAAAAGTGGATTTGTTTCACTTGCAACCCTGATGCCAAATCTGATGTTAAAACTGTAAAAGAAAATATACAACAGAGAATTGATTTTGCCTTTATAAAACAACTGCCCTTATGTCAGACCTTAAAGAATCATTACAGAAATGGAATCAAGATGTTTCTGGTTCTGTTTCTAGCTCTGCAAGAATACTAAAGCAGATGCAGTGGTGAAGGATTTGTATGTTGAAAATGCTCAGTTGTTGAAAGCTCTGGAAATGACTGAACAGCGGCAGAAAACAGCAGAGAAGAAAAATTATCTCCTAGAAGAGAAGATTGCCAACCTCAGTAATATAGTCAGGAATCTGACACCAGCACCCTTGACTTGTACACCTCCTCTGAGGTCATAGCCACACCAAAACATGCACTCGTATATGTGCACTTTGCTGAAATAGGTCAAACATGTCAGTGGGTTCCCTTAATCCTCTTTAAAAAAATAAAGGAAACCTTTTAAGGGCTTAAAATTAAAACTAAGCCTAAGTCTGCCAGCACCAGAATTGGAGTCTCCATTCATCATAGCTAGTTTTTAAAATAGACTCTTGTGGGAATTCCAACAATCACATATTTCACTGTTTATTCAGAAGCTCTGGATTTATTTTTTTTTTAAGTAGCTACCAAGAAGATAAATATGTAAAACAACTTCAGAACCTTAAAATCCCATTTCAGTGTATTTTTTTAGAAGTCACTATTATATACCAACTGTGTAGAGTCTGGATATTTTCTGAGTTTAAGACCTGATTAGAATGATTATTAACCTTATTTTAAAATCAAATTTAGGTGTTACACATATAAACACTGAAAAGTCATTCTGGTTGTAATAGTTTGGGGTTTTTATTTTTAATTAATTGGTAGAGTGTAATTCTATCTGATAAGACTGGGCATGGTAACCAGTGAGGTCAGGAAAGCCCAAGTTTGTAGAACTCTGCCTTCTGACACCTGCTTCTACTTGTGATGTATTATAGATTTAAAACTCATACACTTAAACTATAGTTGAGTATCTCTACCCTTGATGTATTATAGATTTAGAACTGATTGACTCAACTGCACTCTTCACTAATGTTAAAGCTTTACTTTCTTTAAACAGCCTTTTTCTTCCTCCTCTTAGAAGTTTCACTTGGGACCTTGTCTTCTACGAAATGGATAAAGCCACATTCTTAAAGCCTCTGAACTATAGGGAGAGCAACGAACAAACCACCTTGGAGTGAACAGCCACTCTTGAAGAGAGACATGCAGACCATGGGGGTTCTTCTGTGTCTAAGGTCTTGGAATTCATGGACTGACCTTTGAGGATGCCTCAAGAACTCAGGGAACAATCCTTTAGACTCTTCCTGAACTACTGTTGGGCTTCTCTAAGAATTTGGAATGTATAAACTGTGTGACCTTATTTATTTGTTTTGTATATTTACAGCCATAGAATTATTTCTCCATTTTAGTGCATTTAATCATCTGAAAAAGGCCTTGATCTTTAGAGGTGAAAATTTCTTCTAACTTATAGAAGAGTTTTTATTGTTTAAGACAGGTCCAATTCTCTGTGCTTCTTACCTTTCTATACCTCACATCTGATTGCAGGAGTTTCTTCTGTGATAAGCATTGGCATGCCATCTGTGGGAAAGGAGTACAAAATAGGACTTGCCATCCATTTCCAAGATAAGAATTTACGGCACAGAAATAATTTAGACTGGATACCACCACCTGCCTCATCCCAATTACAATCTCCACTTCTAGCCTACTCCCTCCAGCAGTTAGTGGACTTACAAGGTGCAGGACAACTACCAAAGCTCATCCGTCACATCCACCTACTTGTTACATAAGAAAATTTCACTTTGATATATTCCAGGAAGGTCAAACCCACCTATTTACAGGAGGTATAGACAGAAGAACCAAACACTGCTTTATCAGCAAAAAACACGAGGTAAAGCAAACTGCCTACAAAGTCACACAGCATCCGAACTTCAATCTCAACAAAACAATTTCCATCAAGGAACTTCTTCCTCAGGGCCTAACCACCCGCTGTCAGTCTAGAAATCCTCACCACACAAGTCCCTGACAAGGCCCTACTGCTCATGGGAGTAGTAGTTCAAACTGGTGAAGGAGACAGTTGAACTTTTGCATATCCCTTGGAAAAAGAATTTAATTCTTCCCTATAATTGCTCTTCAAAATATTTGACATCTGCTATTATGTCTTCTCTAAATCTTTCTTTTCCGGTATATACATTCCTACCATGTAAACTCAATTACTTGTATGGCACTGGCTTTAATAGGAAATTTTTCCATTTAAAATTGTGGATGGGCCGCCGGGCGTGGTGGTGCACGCCTGTAATCCCAGCACTTAGGCTGAGACAGGAGGATCACTGTGAGTTCCAGACCAGCCTGAGCTACACAGTGAGTTCCAGGTCAGTCTCACTACATAAGTGAGACCCTGTCTCAAAAAACAAAACAAACAAACAAACAAAAAAAAAATTGTGGATAGGCCAAGGCCAAAGTAAAAATAAGCATCTGTGGGATGCTTGTATGATTGCTTCAGGTTACTCGCAGTTATTACCACTGAAACTGAACACAAAGCATATTTCCCAAGGAACTGGCTTAGCATGTGATCATGTTTTTATATTTATTTTTTACATTATGAAAAGCATAGGTCAATTTTTTTCTTATAAATTTGTATTTATATATAAAATGCTGTATAAAAAATGTAAATATGGCTTTTTGGAAAGTTTAAGAAATTTAGAGTATGTTTAAAATTAAAGTACTACTCAAATGAAAATTAACTTAGCCAATAGGTAGTTTGTTGCTTTTACCAACTGACAAACTGGGGGGGAAAATCAACATGAGAAATATCAGACAGATACCTTAAATTTATATATTTGTGCAACAGTTTATTTTTTGAGAGTTTAGAGTGGGAGTTTAACTGCCCATTTATGATATAGCTATGGCTTTTAAGATACTTTGAAGATATTAAATTATGCTTAGATTTTGCTTTCAGACTTCCTTGAATGGCACTCGTTATATATTTTATAGGATTTCAGATTTTTTATTAAAAGCACTGGTAAACTTATTTTAATCTAATAATTATTTAAGATTTCCCTATAAGATCAGATCTTTCGAGGAAAAAAAAAAGCAAATTTACCTTAGAAATAATATATTACACGTGAAGCGGAAAATATGGATGATAAAGCCTCCATTATCCTGTTTTACTTCCACTTTTTAAGTCTGGGCTCTTAAGCTCAAATTTGTGAAGGGAAAGAAGCAGGAAGGGTAGAACCAACCACAGTATTTTGTTTTATTTATCTTTCTAAAACTCTTTATTAAATCCAGACTTTAAAAACTTTTAAATGTGAGCCCTTCCCAAGAGCTTCAATGCACTATTTATATATTAAACCAGCAGCATATTTTACATAAATAGGTCATGAAATCATGGGCTTTCAGGGCATAGGAAGAGTTCTTACAGGTCTAGTATTTAAAAAATGCATCAATTCCCAGGGCAGGAAGTATTTTGAGGAAGCGTTTTAAGAAATGAATACGGCTTTATGTCAGACTTTGGCTTTTTAATGTGTGAAAAATGAATTTATAATTTTTCTTTTGCTGAGTGAAGAAAAAAAAATACTCTGCTATTGCTATTGTCAGGTGTTCCCAATCAGGACAAGCCTAAGTGCTTTGTAATGCTGTGGTATGAAGCAAGCATGTTTTTTAATGGGTTACCTGTAATAAATGACTCATTGGAATGATATACAGGCAATGCCAAAAACCAAATCAAAGCCTAATAACCAAAGCATTCATATTTAAAATATATCCTGTTTGGATGTATTTGAACATTTCAGCACTGATAAGTAAATTTTGTGGTCTAGGGGTAACTGATACCATCAAAATTAGCTTTTTAGCTTCTCACCTTTTTGAATGATACAAGTTAAATTTGTTCTTATTTGGGAAGACACTGTCACAGCATGATTTAAGGGGACAACAGTTTTGGAAAGGAATTTGGTTCCCATACAGAATAATGTATATGTGTTTATATTAGCTTTGTATATCATCTTTGTCATTGTATCCTAGAAAGATTTTGATGTGAGTCTAAATGTAAATAATTTTCCAAGTATGCCTCTTGTTTTCTATATTCCCTAGAATTTATAAACACTTTCACTGTGTTTATCAGTAGTCTAGAGAGTGAAATCAAAATATTGCACCAAACACATTCTACAAATGGAGAACTTCAGACTGCACTCCCAGAGTACTAAATCAAAATCAAAATTTTAAGGTGACCTCCAAGTGATACGTTTGTGATTTAGAACGTGGATTTCATTCCTGTCAAAGAAGCAATGACTTCTATTGACCCCACTTCCCCTTTTGAGGTATCTGGGCACTGGCAGTGCATAGTTACTGCAGAATCCTGATTTAACCTCAGGCAAGGCCCTGCTTGGGATATTGGATGCTTCAAAGGAGGTTTTATTTCACTTTGCCATCTTTGTGGGTGGGTGGCTCAGACTTTAATTTAGCTTCTCATGAGTGACAGATGCAATCAGAGACACAAAAGTTTAACCTGAAAGCACATTGTTAACATGCTGAATGCTGAAACTTACACATATGAGCAAATGAAACTCAGGAGCCCAGGTTGTTTTGTTGGGTTTTTTTTTTTTCCAGAACTTTTATATCAACCTCTCACTTCCTTTATGATTCAGGAACTATTATCCCTGGTACTTTCTGTTTTGTTTTTTGGTTTTGGGTTTTTGTTTTGTTTGTTTTTGAAACAGGGTCTCACTATGTAGTTCAGACTGACCTGGAACTCACTATTTAGCCCAGGCTGATCTTGAACTCATAGCGATCCTCCTGCCTCAGCCTCTCAAGTGCTGAAATTATAGGCGTACACCACCATGCCCGGATTATTATCCCTGTTTTACAGATGAGAAACCTGAAACTTGGCAATGTTGTGGCTTACTAAAAGTCATACTGCCAGTTAAGTAAGTGAGAACTCATGGTCCAGCTTTATCTGTGTTAATAAGCTGAAATATTCATATCAATTCCTATTTTTGGCAGATCATTAAATCAGTGTTGATTTAATAACTACCTGTATGCTGCACTCTAAAGAAAAATAGTAAACATTCCTATGGGGAAATCCAAGGTGGCAGAGGCACTGAGCATTCACTTCATCCTTCACAAAGAACCAAAGTAAGATGTACAGCTGTACTTTGAGGTGATTAACTATGGGGAAACACTGGAAATCAGCATGAGAGAAACTAGAACATTTTAACATTCAGAAACATAGGACAACATGGAAAAATAAAATGCCCAGTAACCTACCACCCCATCTACCACTTCAGCTTCACAGCCAGAGGAGGGAGAGTCTCCAATTTGCAAAAGTATTGGTGAAAGAGTCCCAGGAAGTTCTATCAAAGTAGATTCTGGCAGTCTAAGGTACGGCAAACTTTGATGTCTTCAGAGGCTTGTAGCCACTTAGATAAATGACCTGAAGTCTGAACAGTAACCTTTCTTTGGAAGAGAATTTCAAATCATCTCCCCCTCAGGAATCCCCCAGTTAGGAGCTTTCCTGAGAAATAAGCTACTGCCTGAGTTTAGACTGCTGTAGGAGTCAGAAACTCATGTATGTTTCTATCCATGGACTCGACAGACCTTCCAATGTACTGGCTTGGTGAGTAGCTGCCTTGCAAACCTAACTTGGGTGAGCAAAATGATGTGACCCAAGCCCACTGAGTGCTCTGGACTATAGGTAATGGGTATTGTGACACAGAAAAGGAAGGTGCTGCTCTCAAGAACCAGGAAAATAGGGTGTTCTGCTTCTGAGACCTGGAATGTCTTTGTTCAGATTCATGCAGCACCAACACTGAAGGCAGGAGACCATACAGGTCCCACCTCCCCTCCCACCATGTATCATTTATATCCCTCAGGGTGGGGAAGGAGCACCATAGTTCTTGTTGCTGCCACATCAACATGAGGCATGAAGAGCCCTTGAGAAACTCCATGGCTCCAACTGTTGACTTGCCACTGGTTGCACACTATAGCTGAAGATTGAAAAGAATGTAAACAGTTAAGTTAGAAGATAAAGCAGGATATGAATGAGAAATTAAAGAGATACAATTTTTGAAAAAATTTTAAAAATCATGGAAAAAGTCAAGTAGAAGAAAGTATTTGAAATTGAAGACAAGTCTATTGAAATAATCTAGTCAGACACCTTAAATGACCAAATAGCTACATTTATGGAATACTCAAATGGGAGGGAAAAATTTTAATGGCATAAAGAAAACTAATAAAATAGTATCAGAAAATTAATTTTGAGAAATATGTATCATTCAAGTACAGGAGCATTGTAGGGCCTCAGGTAAACATTACCAGAAAAAAATCTTCACCATGGCATATTATTATCAAACTGTCAAACGTACAAGACAAAGAAAAAAACTCTAAAGTCTGCAAGAGAAAAGCACCAAATTACTCTTAGACTGTGCAAGTTTCTTTGAGAAACACTACACAGAAGGGAGAGGCATTACATAATCCATATCCTGAAACAAAATACTGAAGGCAGGCACTTAAGCAACAAGAAACTATACCCAAGAAACAAGAAAGCTATCCTTCAAAACTGGAGAAGTAGGGTCAGGGATTTAGCTCAGTGTCACTGCACCTGCCTTGCTAGTGTAAGGTCCTGAGTTCCAACCCACGTACCAAAAAGGAAAAGAAAAGATAAGAAATTCCTTCCAAGACAAAAACAGAATGCAAGACTACCACACTAACTTTACAAAAGATCTATGGGTGTCCTACATCCAGAAGTAAAAGAAAAATCGCTTCTCAGCCTTTTGGCTAAGATCAAGTGCAGAAGTAAAAGAAAGATTATGCAAATATGTAAATTTATGAATTTCTATAGACTATACATACAAATCAGAAATGGAATCAACCATCAGTACAGTAAACATAAAACCACAAAGATGAAGGAGAGTGAAGAAACAACACTCAAAACAACCAGAGGAAAAAAAATGGCAGCAGCAAGACCTTACTATCAACAATAACCTTGAAAGCAAACAGACTAAATTCTACAATTAAAGTATACAGACTGGCTAAATGGGTTTAAAAAAAGAAAAAGGAAACCTAAGGGAAAAAAATACCAATTACATGCTGCCTACAGGAAACTCATCTCACCAATAAAGACACATACAGTTGGAAATAGAAAGGACGGGAAATCTTATTCCAAACAAATGGAAATCTAAAGCAGAAGTAGCTATACCTATATCTTACAAAATAGACTTTAAGACAAAAAAGGAGAGACAAAGAAATTCACTAAAGATTAAGGAATCAATTCAACAAAAAGATGATTGTAAATCTACATGCACCTAACTTT